ATCCAATATTTTATTAAAATAAATATTAAATAAAATGCTTTAAACAGAAATTAGATAAGGAAATTTGAATCTGCCTTTTTTAGTATAGATAGACTTTACGTACAATTTTTGACTTCACCGACTTTATGGGATTTGTTTTGACTAAATCGATGTTATTATGGAATAAGACAAATAAATAAATCCTTTTTTATTTTAGTAAGATTTTACGTACTTTTTTTTACTTAGCGGATGTTATGAGATTTTTTTTTTCTTAAACCGATTTTATGGGATATAAGACAAATAAACAAAATAATTAAATAAAATTCTGGATAGAAATGGCAATGCATTAATTACATTGACTTTTCAGCTTACTAAATTTGATAAATATGATACCTTATTATATAAGTACAAATTTTTTAACTATAGTTAGTTTTGAAAAAAAAAAATGATATGGTTAGTTGTTAGTGGATATATTAAAATAATATTTTAAATAAAATAATTAAAGTTGATTTGATGTAAAGTAGGAAAAGAATTATTGAAAGTGACAGTTAATTAAAATTATTTGAGTGGATGAATAGTGAATTAAAGTTGATGTGATGTGTAACAAATGATTGGTTGATATTATTTAATTTTATTGATAATATTTGAGATAGTGGAGTTGAATTAAAGTTGAGTTTTGATTGGTTTTTTTTACTGCCGCCCCCTAATTTATTATATAATATTATATAAATGGGTGTAAAATGCAAAAATATATTTATTATAGTACATTATTTTTTAAAAAAATAATTTTATTATTATCATAGATAAAATAATAACATTAATATAAATATTATTTTTTTCTACAAATTAGTGATAAATAATAATATATAAGGTCTTACTATTCTTCATACCAAACACATCAATGAAAAAACTGGTTTCATTCATTATTTTCTCATATTCATTTCATTGTTCAACTCATTTTATTTCTAATAATTCCATTTCATTATACCTATCATGTCATAATGACATGATTGGTATGAATGAATGACTTGTGAATGGAAAGTTCATTCCCTTACTCATTCTTTTTCCCATGATTTGTATATTTTTTTGTTTTTTTGGAAAGGAATGATCATTCTAATGTGAATTGCAAAACCCATCTAATTAGCCATTCCATGACTTATTCAAAGTTTTCTCATTCACATGTTTGTAGGAATCAAATCTTCAACCAAAAAAAAAAATAAAA